TTTCGAAAAATTGAAATCATTTCAAATTTATTTTTTGCATTTTCAATAAAAATTAAGAATAAAAAAAATGTTTATTAATTTTATGCGAAATTTCGATAATAGGGAGGCATTTTTTACTATGCCCAGAACCGGCGCTAAGGTTAAATCCGGCACTGTGTAGGTATCTCATAAACAATAAGAAATCATGAAACGTTTGAAGACAGGTTTTAACGATCTTTCAAAATTTGGTCTAGGCAGTGGGTTTATGCCATTGCGTCTTCTGTTTAAAAGTTAAACTGGTCAGTACAAATAAAATAAGTAATTAATTCAAAAGAAACTTAATAAACTGTGTGCACCCTAAGTTCATTTATATAATATTTATTCTGTTTCAATTATCTTAATTTAAATTACTTATTTTGTGTACCTCTCAGTCCCTGGCGTAATACGGGCCAACATTATTTTGAAACTACTGGTTTAAAGCTTAAAATAAAGGGTTATCACTAAATTCTTCGCATGACGAGTTAAAAATATCCGACTATTTTTGCCTACAAAATTACCAAATCATTTATTTTCTCTTTTTTGCGCTCTACTTGTATTATTAAAAATATATAATGTATCTATTCATTTAAATAGATATATTTTTCTATTTTTGTTATCTATAGTAACAATAATTTTTTTTATCAATAACTTCCAAAACTAACACAATCGTTGATTTTATAATATATTATAGCTATATACTACTTTTCGCAGGCAAACCCGGTCTCGTATTAGGCGTTTTTATAAAACTTAGCCACAACATGCTAATATGTTAATCCAAAATTTATTGTATCTGAATACCTCTTAAGTAACATCAAAACAAAACATTCAAACACTTCGATATAAAGTCGCGAGTAAAAACTTGTACAGCGTAAAAAATCACATAACATTATCTTCAAATCACACCCATATCTTCGTCGTATTTATCGAGATTGAGTTTTTATGTAAGAACACCTCGCGGCGGATCGAACCTCCCTTTATGTTTGCCGACGGCTACCGATAGATTCCCAGATTCCGCTGTCACCGGCTTTTCTAGATATCAAATCTTCCAATGTAAGTAGCAGTAAAAGTAAATAAGTTTTTACGTGTTACGTGCTCAAAACGAAAGCGATGTTTGAAGTTAAGTTCATTTTTATTAAATGAGTGAGTATAATATTCATGCTGGGGTTATCCAATCTGTAATTTTCATTTATTTCTACTTTTGCACTACGTGTCCACACACGTCGGTCTTCAACCCTCTCAAATATGTGCATTATCATTACAAATACTTGCCCTAATACGACAATCAACTAGTAATTAATGATGTTTTTATGTACGTACATAATGTAACTATTACAAAACTTAATTTTCTTTCCTATTATCTATACTAATATTATAAAGAGGAAAGATTTGTTTGTTTCTTTGTTCGTTTGTACAATAAGCTTGAAACTACTATACCAATTTAGATGAAATCCCTGGAAATAGGATAGTTTTTATTCCGCAAATCATCACTTAAGGGGTTGAAAATGGGGATGAAAGTTTGTATGGGAAAGCAACCTAGGGACGAACCCGATCGAAACGAGGATGAGTCGCTAGTCTACAATAAATAGACAAAGACAAAACAGTCCACTAGCTGTTTCTCCTCTATTTGCTAACTGATTTTCTTTTTTTTTAGTAGCTATGGCGACCTTTAGTCTTATCCTATACAAAATTTTAGAAACTCTATTCATAGGTAAAGTCTGTACATATCTACATTTTTTTTTTCAAATTTTCAATAGCGAACGAATACCATTTTAAAGACTTTTGGTACGTTGATTAATATATAGAATTTTTATTCTTTAACTAGCGGCTCACCCTCACTTCGCTTCGGGTTCGCTCGCCTCTAGGAAAACAAAAATCAACCTATCCAACGGGAACCGTATATTTTTCCGGGATAAAATGTAGCCTATGTGTTATTCCAGACTATAATCTATCTCCGATCCGTTCAACCATTCTGGCGTTAGAGAGTAACAAACACCCATCCCCACAAACTTTCACATTTATAACATTAATATGGATATATCAATTATGTATAGACCATAAAGCTACAATAAGTGTCAATCCAATAGTAATCAGAAGATATAGGGTGTCCTTATAGAGTGCTAATGCTGAGTCTAGGTACGAGATCAGTAGGCCAATCTACTGATAACTCGCGCGTGGAAGATGCAACGCAATTAGTCGTGAGCCGACGACGTGATGAAAACAACTTATCTAACATCGTTTACTATTGACACTGACCTGAACGGTGCTTCTTAGAAATATATGATTATAGCAAAAATATACGTTATGTTTGTTGCATTATAGTTATTTACTAACTATATATATTGTTCATATTTTTAAGAATATATTTATACATATTTTAAAACTTATGTTTTAAATAAATATTCCAAACAAACCAATTGAAATTTTTTCGCGAGTTCATCTTAGAGCCAATCTGCATTTACTTTCCGAACTGGCGGTAAATTCAATAACAGTAAAAAATTGCCGTGCACTCTGTAATCACTCTGTCTATCTAAAATCCAATCTAAAATCACACTGTCTATCTCCGCCGTCCAAAAGTCAACGGAAACGTCATAATAATACTTAATGCGCATTTTATATAATGATCAAAACAATCAAGTATAAGCAAATTCAATACTTAACTGTAGATATTATGAGATGAAGTAAAGCGCAATAGTGATGCTGTGCCGAGTGCGTAGGTAGGATATCAAGTAAACATGTTTACACAATTGCCGTGAAACAAGGAAAATATTTAATTTTATTCAAGGAATTACCTACCTCATTCTCTCTAGAGGTACAAACATTTCTCATTAAATATACAAATACACTACATTTATATTGTAATACTTATTTTTATAACCGATATGAAATATTATCTTCGATCACTTTAACAGCTCTTTATTATGTCCAAATCGTAGTGATGTACATTAAAGCTTTCTTTGCTTATAATCCAAATAGGTACATATTCATCTTTTGAAAGCGGCCAAGTGCGTCGACCTACATACAGAGGAAACCGAAGGTCGGTGTAGCTCCCATCAATATTACAAAGGATAAATATGAAGATACAACCCTATTTTGTTACCTCGCAGAAATAATCTATGTATTGGTAATTTTACATTGTTTTTCACCTATAACACTGCGATAAATCGAAACGTTTTTTTCTTTAGGAGGCTGAAACATATTATGTATTCTAAATAAATAATTTACTTCGAGAATGTTAATGCCCCAATAATGCCCCAATGCCCCCAATGGAATCGAAAATGTAACTTTCGCCTTGAAAATATAGTCAAGATAGACACACTGTGCTCCAGTTATTTGGAGTATCCTGTTGTCATTAACTTTTACAAAATATCACATGTAAATATTAATATTTTTTTCAGCTGACAAGTTGGGCTGGCAATAATGTATAACATTGAAATAGAAGGAAATCTTAAACAAAGCAATTTAAACACAATATCCCTTCCAATCACTGCACACCAAAACACCCTTGCCAATAAAATTTATCAGCTCTTTCTTACCTTACTGATACGTTTCGGGCAATTTCCCATAAGCCTGCGAACGCCTTATTACCAAGATATACGGTTAGCTATCCCTTAGCAGGTAAATGTGCCAAGAATGGGATATAAAAAGCGGAGACAGCTGAGATGATCTAAATAGGGCCGGTTTTATAGCGACCGACTGATCGCGGATACGCAGCCCTGACGTGACATCGCTCTGGGGACGTATCAAGGTAACGGCATAAGGACAGATAGCCAAAGTTTCAGTTTAGATGGGATGTTTAGCTAAAAGAGATATGAACGGTCGTCTAATCATGTGTGCTTCAAATATTTTTATATAAAAATAATTTTAAGAATAAATTCGTTCGTTTCACTCTTTATTCATCTCTTTATGAAGAACTTGTTACAAGCCAGTTTCATTGAACTCACTATATTTTTTTATAATCTTTATTGCTTTTGAATTAAGCCTATACTAATATTTTTTATTTAATTTCTTTTTGATAAAGAAAATAATGATTAAAAAGTGCAAAAACAGGTAGGAAATTCAAAGTAGTTGAAACGCAACGCCATTGGTCAGACCCGATATGACGTCAGAGTATATCAATACAGCGATTTTTTGCTGTCTTTATATAGGATACTGTGAGTCCATTAAATGTTGCAAAATTGTAAAAACAAAAACTCCTGTCTCTGTAACTTCAACCTTGTTTGTAAAGTAGAATATTACACATGTTTTTAAAGCATACTAATATTCCCCTCGCACTCTATCTGAGCGTAAAATTTATGGAAAAATTTGGAAAACCCAAACCCAAAGGCTCTAATATATTATATTTACTACTAAGTATTATATTTAGTTTCAATTCATAATTTTTAATGGACGTTTTCTTTGTTTGAGATTATTTTTGGTCATGACACGATTTAGTTTGTTACCTGTTTTTCCTATAAAATTATTTATTATTAACTCATTAAAAAAGTTTATACCTTCAGATATGTTTAATTAACTATGATGTACAGCCCTCTGAAGCTTACACCTTCAAATCCCTAAGAACTTTAACAATAACAAACTAATTATTAGATACTCTAAAATTAAACAATTTTGCCCTTTGCATGTCTGCATTGATAAAGGATTTAATTATTGTTTGAAATCTCATGCGGCGTGAGGGTTCATCCGAGTGTGCTCCAAGATAAATGCATGTGGGGGGCGCAGGTGCGAGCGGCCGCTACGTATCTCATCCACATCGGTTGCGACGAGGCCGGTTATGCTCTAATAGAAGTAATTAAATTATATTGTCTCAAATAGTTGTTTACTGTTGTACAAAAGAAGAATTACACTATTGTTCCTATATTACGTTTGAAATAGGCAACATGATATTAATAAATGATATTAAATTGTGAAAAGAACAATGTTTTATTTTTTTCCATATTGAAACGTCGTTAATTAATAATAAATAAAATGTAAGAATTTATGAACACATGCAAGCCAGTCGGATGTCGGATCGCAGCTCGCCGCCGCCCGCCGCCGCCCGCCGCGTGTCACCCGCGCTAATTGTTGTTCATAATTTGTTGGAGCGCCGCCACCGCAAGGTGATATTTTACCCTGCCCACATTTAAATGTAAATGCTCGAACTTCCTCAACTCCTGACGACCACCTACGCACATAATTTTCGCTTGTCCGACTTATTTTTCGTTGACATCCCATTTGAATTTTAATTTGTTTCCTTGTAAATTAGAATCACAATCGACCTCCATTGATTACGTCTTTAGGTAGTTCTTAGGTAGGGTCCTTAATGGCCATCGAAATTGAACAGAACGTGAGTGGACAAATTGGACCGGCCGGGTCAAGATAAGGGCGAAAGGGAAATGTTCATAAACAACAGGCGACTCGGTCCCAATTAATAAAGCAGCGAACTGAAGTAGCGCAATTAATTCTGTGCCTTCGTAGATTTTAATAGTTCGCATAAATCAGAGCAGCGGCCGGTGGGTTAATCGTCGTTTAATATGCCGGAGTGCGCCGGACCGGCCTATCGAACTATCTTCTAGCAATATATTGCTCGCCAATCCCAGATAAAGCACGGTACGTGATACGTGGAAGATATGTACTTGCGTTTCTTCTGCTCTTTCGTGTATATTTAGCCTTGAGCTTATTGTTAGAATAATGTATTATTAGTCTCTAACGTTAAACTTTTTATTTCTTCTTCTTGACACTCTTGACAGAGCGGTCGTGGTCATCACATAGCAATTTCTGTAGGAGCAGATGTGATGTACTGTGACAAATAGTGTGAAAAACTTTTAATTTACCATAGATATAAATAATAAAACATAAAATAGTTATATTTTTGAAACTGTAATCATAGAAGTAGCAGGCTGTACAAATGCTCACAGAAAGTTCAAATTAACATAGAAAGTTAAAGTAGCCTTTATCAAAATATATTGCCTGTAATTTGAGAAAAAAATCTTTTCAAAAGATATCTATATATTTCCAATTCCGGCCTCGATAAGACGTATATATTCCACGTTATACATTTTCAAGCTTATTACTCGTTTACTTGTGAAAGTAATCGCTGGAACGGTGAACGAGATTGTCCTTTCAGATTCAATTATATTTTGGACACTGGCAGGAGGTAGCCAAACTCAATTGCAGCTAGACTTCGCGTTAAGTGGTTATATCCCCTAACAGAAGAGGGGCCGAGTGGACACTAAACACAAGGTGTGAGGGGGTAATAGTACGGGGTGGTCTGTGGGGGGTGAAACCTCGGTATATTGAATTTGCGGCGAGCGACTCTCAATTGTTATCTGCCGCTGCAAGGTCGCCCGGAGCACCCAGGTACGGCCCTTTCTTTAAAGATAGGGTTGGACTTTAAACATAAAATTGATTAAATTATTCTTAAAGGAATATTCTGTGTTATTTGGAGTTAGGGGAATTTTTATTTTTACTATCTACGAAAGAATAGGTAATTAACAATCACAGATTTTGTGAAATTTAATCTCATATCGTCATTTGAAGCTTATCGTTAACTTCAGACTTAATTAGTATTAGTTATTACTTCAAATAAATTAAAAACAACATATTATATATACATATGTATATTATACTTACTTTTATTATTTAATTAACATTTAATGCTATAAACATAATATTTACAAAAACCTTAAACAATGCAAAACCTAAAGCCTTTAAACCCTTAACAACCACCCCTACCTTCGGGCGGTCATTGGTCAATTTATTTCTTGGTAGCAGTTATCATGATTGAATTAAGTAAAACCGGGACGCACAGTGATTTAGCTCCATTGTACGTCGTACTTTGGACCCACAAAAAGGAAATTCAGAATTTTAATCGTGGGAATATGCGGCTGTTCCAACGTTTATTTAAGGTTAATTTGGATCGGTCAGTTTTAGTTCACCGGAACTGATTTGGGGTCGATCGTTGATTTGTTTATTTATCACCGATATTCGGTGCGTTCGAATAGCTTCGAATTTTAACTTTTTAGGTCAAATAACACTTATATCATAGTTTTGAATAATTTCTATTTATTTAGCTACGTTTTTTTGGATTCAATGAAAAATTAAACTTTTATTAGTTTTTCTATATTTTTATTCATATATAAATATTTAATTATATCAGAATAGTCCTACTAATATTATAAATGTGTAAGTTTGTAAGAATGTATGGATGTTTGGTAACCTTTCACATAATAACTACTGAATGGATTTTAATGAAACTCTACAATAATATAGCTCATACACCAGAATAACACATAAGCTACTTGTTATCCTGAAATGTCGGGTTCCCGTGGAATAGATTTGTTTTTGATTGTGAGCCGCTAGTACGAAAGTATGAAAACTAGCGTCCAGCAAATATAATATGAAGCACGTGCCTCGAAGGTTCTTAATTGTATTATCGCCCTAAAAGGTGCTGCAACTTACTAACTTCACACTCTAACAATCCAGGTTGACCCTTGTTAAAGTTATGACATAAATTTATTATACTAGCGACTCACCCTAGCTTCGCACGAGTTCTCCTGTAGAAAAACAAAAACAAACGTATCCCACGGGAACCGTACATTTTTCCAGAATAAAATGTAGCCTATGTATTATTTCATATTATATTATCTCTGTGCCAAATTTCATCCAGATCCGTTTAGTCGTTCTGGCGTGAAAGAGTAACAAACATCCATACTTACAAACTTCCACATTTATAATATTATGTTGATGTTACAAACTATAGTCTAAATTTTTTTTGTATAAAGATATGCTACGTATAAATAAGATTAATAAACCCGTATTCAAATGACGCCTTAACTCTAGTAAAAACCAGTAAACGGACAACAAAAACTATTTTATTGATATAACATGAATCGTTTATTATTAAATACAGAAACTCTATTAGTGTGTGTACAATCTTTTATGTATTTCCTTTAAGTGTTTTAAATAATGTTAGTTTCCCAAAAAATAAATAAATAAAATAAATAAAGTGTCGTAAAGCACTAATGCCTTAAAGTCAACCCTACAAGTTGCGCTGTGACTTGGCACTTACACAGATGTGCTTGACCCTTGTTATTGCTGTTAAGAAAGTTCATGTTAGTGTCTTTAATTTAATTCTCAAAACAATCGTCGATTTACAATTATTCATCTAAAATTCTCAATCAAGAATTTAAGGAAATTCAAGAATTATTTTGGGCAATATAAAAATCTCCATCATATGTACGTATGTATGTCGTGGGTTCATTCTATTACTCTTTTCGATGTGTGGTATTGTGCGTATCACATTCAGCACTCTTAGTGTAAATAAATAGCTCAAAACAAAGATAATATCATTTGGACATAATATAAAAATTGTTAGCAGGTCAAAGAACACTGATTATTTTTTTAATTAATACCTAACAATATAAAATACCTAACAAAAGTTTGCTTAAAATTCGTAGAAGTTATATCAACAATTTTAGAGTTTTTATCTGTCTGTGTCAAGTATTTAAATGGTTTAAAATGGGTAAGTAAGTTTAATACTTATAATGAAGAGTCAGGTTTATTAGAACGGACTAAAGAGAAATATATACGTGTATTTCTTAAATTTGCGATGTGAGGTTCTTATTAATATTCATCACATGTGCATACAAGTACCTAAGTTTTTTATACCAGTTTATTAACAAGAATATTTAAAAAAAAAACAAAGTTCTTTCAACTTGAACAAATCACTTATGATTATTGCGAGCACTCACATTTTCATACAGCTTACAGTATTAGCTCATTGTTATTCAGGGCAGTCGCATTTTTAAGGAGAAAGTCTGATAATTTACTATAACTGATCTATTTGCATTCGAGTGCGGAGCATCAGCTCGCGTCGCGTCGGTAGCGTTGCGAATTGTTCAATCCAATATTAGAGAAATATATACAAAGCAAACATGAAAAGAGAAGTAAATTAAGTATTATAATGGATGTAAAATGCAAGCGACGGCGGAAACTTATTACCTACTATAAAAAACTGACTAACTATTATAAAAGTTTTGAAAAAAAAATATGTATGTATGTGTACGAATATTGGTTTTCCTGTACGTTGAGTCGGATTTACAGATTAGGATGAAAATTATCAACACAGATAGACCGTGATTTGTAGTAATACATAGCTTACTCTTAGGCTTGCTTACTTACTTACCCTCGCTCTGCTCATGTGTATTCCTAGACAGTAGACACCTAAAAAAAGTGAGTCCAAGTCGCCCATATTCTATACAGAATAAAAAATTTAGATCAATTAACCTTCACATATTCTAATCAACATTCAGATTCGAAAGAAGCAACGAGCCGAAACTGTACTAGAATTCGAATCTTAAGCAAGAATCTTGTTTTGAAACATTTCACAATTAGCTAATAAAATATTTTATTTATTAGGAAGCCTACGTTATATACCAAGAATACATTTCTTAACTTAATATAGTTATACATAATAAAGTGTTACAAAGTATACCACAATCATACGCTAACTTAACTTGTAAATAATAATTGTTGAACTAAGAAAAAGGTTGTGCTCACTTATGTTCAAAAAAAAAATATATAAGAAATTAAATAACTCTAAACAAATAACAAAATATCTGTGTAAAAAAAAAGTTTTAACAAAAAATATAACTAAATTTTGACATTACATAAATCGTAAATACATAAGTAGAAAACAATGTTTCTACAAACCATGACCAAATCAAATCATAAAAAAATGGGGAAAAATATATAAAACTAATATTTAATAAAAAAACAAATATTTAATAATATTTAATATAAAACAAATACTTTAAAAGGAATTAAATTCTAGCATTTGACATTTAGCAAGATCAGCTCATTAACACAAAATGATAAGGCTAATTAAGTACCACTTAAAAAACGTTACAACATGTAAGGAGATGTAATTTTAAAAAGATACATTTGCTACCCATTGTACGCCGCACTCAGCGCCGCTCGACGCCCGGCGCGGGGTGGCAGCCGGCAGGAGGAGGACGTCCATAATCCTCCTTGTTATTCTTATGCAAATGCCCCGTACGATAATAAGTGGAACGCGAATCACCAGACGTTATACAGATTGGAAGAATTCGCTGACAGCAAGAGCGGACCACACGGGGGAGTTATCTTGTTAATATGTATAAAGTAAATTAGCGGCTTATTTTCGCTTCGCTCGGGTGCGTCTCTGGATACCTTATAGTAAATTAGTTATGACTCTAGATCGTAGTCTATAACCCCGATGTGTGTTTACCTTGTCGTGAGGGAGACTCATTGGCGTCCGGACGGGCGTGAAGCCAAGTGATACACTGGGAGATAGCCCATCTTGGTGTACTGTGTACCATATGGGTTACTCCTAGTACTTCTCTCACATCAAAGCGGACCGAGGAACCTTGGTTGTGCGGACCTTGGTTGTGTGGTCTGCTTCGGCAGATCTGCGATCATTGAGACGAATGAGGTTCTGTTAAGTTTTACTGGATAGTACTGGCTTTTCTAGCCGGAACCTTTTGCGTCCCACATAACCACCTAATACAGATGCTATGCATATATTCATTCCCCATGATTAAAAAAAAGTCATAATCTGTCTGTGTACTAAATTTCATCCAAATTGTCTAACCCTTTCAAAGGTAAGAAAGAAGTACGTAAAGAAGTAATAAGAACACTTACACGCAATCAAACTTTTGCATTTATAAGGGTCATCTGATTTTAGTTACCAATTTAATATTAAAATCTTATTATATTAACATAGATAGAGAACCATTTATGGGTTTTTTAACAATTTTAAATAAGTCGAATATAAATACTTAGGTAGGTACGTTTAAAACACCCCGTGTAATCGCGCAGTGCGTTTTGGAACATTGGATTGTAGGCTCGCTACGATACTGATTCCATGTAATCAGTGCCGTGACGTCACACAACTTTTATTTCTCAACAATTTAATATTCCTACCGTCCTACATTTTTCCTGTAATTTAAACCGATCTTTGTTATTGATCTGTTCTTATAGTTAGTGAATAGATTGTTATTCCGTAGTTGTTGAGCAAAGAAGCGGAAATATCGATCATTACGAGGTTCTTATTCTCGGCAATCTGCTTTCGGAAGAGAATACATCAAGAAAACGTAGGAGGTCGAGGGTATTTATTATCTTTCCTGAATAAATTATGGAAGTGCAACATTCTAATTAAATAATAAATGTAGTCTATTTAAAAAAAAACTCATTTATAAACTAGTTCTTTAATTCAGATTTTTTGTCACTTTCCGACTCAATCGTCAGAAGATTATCATTATATAATTGTTTTGACCAGCGCTGCCAATTGGCGGGTAAATTACCCGAAAAGCGGGTAATTTTAGGCAATCTTTGACGGCGGGTAATTTTGACGGATATTTGTATTTGGTATTTCATTTTGATATTTTAAGTTTTTTTATGTTTGATTTTATAATTTAAAGCTGTTTAATTGAAAACTGATCACAGTGAATTGTTCTTCTTACATTAGTACTTTCTTTTATTCTATATAAAACATGAATAAATTAGTTAAAAAAACTATTTTTGGATATTCTGCTCATGGTTGGCGCCGGCGGAATAAACTGGGTATTTTGAGGTTTATTGATCGGGTAAACCAACGACTGTTATCTGGCAGCCCTGGTTTTGACACAAGAGTTTCAAATTTCCAAAGTAGCAAGCAGCACAGGCAGATACAAATATACGCGTGCTTAAAAAAAGCGGAAATAAATACAAATAAGTTTAATGAAAGTTTCCACAAAACAATATTCGTGACAACAAAAAATGGACTGATCATTCAACTATAGTTTTAAACCTTTTCCAACATAAAATAAAATTCTAAAAATAATACTAATCATTAAAGATATACCCAAAGTTAGCAATAAATAACCCATGAATAACACTTAACGTACAAACCAACAAAATGTTACATATACATAGATAATTACAACCATGTTCCACAATAAACCGTGTCAGAGGAAATGCGCCGCGATTACAGCCCGTTATCAAAGGCCGGTGAGGCACCTACGTACAATGTACATGCTGCGACGTCGACAGGCGGGCACAGGCCAAGGCGTGCGATAAAATATTAAATTACTATACATACAAGTAATAAATATGTACTTCTTTGCTAGGAATTATTATGAGTCATCTAAATTTTACAAAAAATGCTGGCAATTACACAGATTTTTGTACCTTTTTAGTATTTAATAAATTAAAAGTTTCTTTCTTCAAACGTTTTACTACTTTATGCGTAATTTTATTCAGTATTGGTGTATCGATATAAAATATAATCTATGATATAAAGTTTAATCATGTGAAAAATAAAGTCGATCTAATACTTTATTACTATATATTATATGTTCAAAATTACATATCTTAATAAAAATGGAGAAGATAATTATATATTAAGAATGGACAAGAAAGGATATTATATTTTCATAAGGTCATTTATTCATAAGGTACGATTTAGATGATTATACTATACATATAATACCTACATAATATAAAATATGGTTATTTCTGCTTACTTTACTTAAGTACTTTATTAAGTAGTAATCCATAATGATACTGATAAAATAACTACAATTAGTATTAAATAATAATAAAAAAATACTTATATATACGCACGTAAGAAGTTATACTTCTTTGGCTTAACAGAACAAAAATAGCTAAAGATTTCATCTCGTATATCACAACTCTCCGTTTGTAAATGAAATTCAACTAACTTCATCATGTCGCTTTTTGGCTGTAGGTGTGCGCGCGCATCGTAATTTTTTTCCAAACGTACCAAAAGAAGTACACCTAACTTCAAAAATTCAAAACAAAATTTTTCCATTACAGACAAATGTAAAATTAATTTAATTCTAATTAGTAGTTAATATTAAATAAAGGATATAATATGTATATTTTATATAATATTGTACAGTTTATCTAATGTAAGGTAAAAATCAGTTCGCCTATCGCACGCACACACTCTCGCGTTATCGCTCACTTGTCATTCATTCGGCCATCTTGTATCAATGGACTTCGAATAACGTCACAGTAATCGCATGATTATATCGTTATAAGTATATAAGTATAATAAATAATTAAGTTTGTTTGTCGAGTTGCGTAGTTACATACGAAACGTTAGTTGACCTATGACAGGGGTGATTCCTTCATATGTGAAAACAAGACGGCATCAGCATCTTGGGTGAGATTTCTTGATCGCACTTATTACACTTGTCGCTTACTTTACTTTAGAAAACTGTACTTTGCTTAGTAAAGTCTGCATTCATAAAAAGTAGTACTAATAATAGTAATACCTACTAGCATACATTAATATAATGTATTATTATTTATATCAGAATTTTTTATTCAGATTATTAGGTTTAGAAATACATATTTCTATATGCCATGTCATATGCCATGTGGAAATATCAACTATATTTACGACTGAGGAATCAAAATGATTGGAAGTGAACTTTCGGAAAGATCACTTTGCAACGACGACTTTCACTTAAAGTAAAGATTACATGCTACGAACTCTAATTTAACATTAAAATACACATCTTCAGTAACACTATCGCTATTTTTAGTAACACTATACTAAAAGGTTTTGCAGAAGTCCTAAGATTTTTATTAATATGATTTATAACATAAAATATTAAGAAATACCTAAAAAAATGACGAGACTCATAAAAACAATAACTTATCATATCTTCGTCTACCGTGGAATAAAAATTATATACCTATCTATAAAAGAATAAAATCACATATTAGTTTTATAAATTATATTTACAATAATGACATATAAAAATAACACAAATATAACAAGAAATATAAAAGAAATTTATAAACTTCATATAATTATACAAAAGAAATTAAATAAATAGTTAAAACTTCTATTACTGAAATAATTTATGGATAAATTATAATTCATTAATTTAAATGGGTAAACACTTCTCTTGATTTAGACTTCACTTAAAATAAATTAATCACCAACAATATAATAACAACCACTATAACACAATCACTACAACACAGTCACTGATAACACCGTCACTATAACTTCACAACACGTCCGAAGTCGACTCACTTCTGAACCGCTGTGTCATTTCTCTGCCTTTTCAACCGACTTCAAAAAGGAGGAGGTTCTCAATTCGACTGTATGTTTTTTTTTATGTTTGTTACCTAAGAACTCCGTCATTTATGAACCGATTTGGACAATTTTTGTTTGAAAGTGTATACTTCCAGATTGGTCCCATTTAAATTTCAAAAAAAAATACCACTCCTAAGGGTGGAAAAATAGCTAATAATGAATTTAACCTACTTCTAATTGTCATATTGACTTGAAACTTTGCAAGTGTTTCTATTTCCGTTGATAGTACAGTGGTTCGGTATTGTTGACCTGATCTGATGGTAAGGCCAGAAGGTGGATAGCTGGAACTCTTCAACGACTAATAGTAGATATTTTGAGTTTGGGCTTATTTTGTTCGATTTGACAAGCTTAACACGTTAGAATGCTTACTTTGCTATTACTGTCTACACTAAAAAGGGAAAAATAAAAACTTTTTTACAAAAAAATAAAAACCGACTTCAAACAAAAGCACTAAAAAGTAAAAAATAACTGATTGGTAGTTTTCATTTACTATACATACCTAATCAAATATTTGCGAAGTCGGTGTGCTTTGGCTAAGTAATTAAAGCCTACCTATTAAATACATATATACCTAATCAAATATTTTTGAAATCGGTGTCAGCCCGTACAAAGCAAAGCACACCGACTTCGAAAATATTTGATTAGATATGTATAGTAAATGAAAACTACCAATCAGTTATTTTTTACTTTTTAGTGCTTTTGTTTGAAGTCGGTTTTTATTTTTTTGTTAAAAAGTTTTTATTATAACTTATCATTGTCGGCGCCCCTAGTAGGGTAAACTCAGCTGTCAACTAACTTTTCGTATTAATTAATCATGATTTCCGTTGCGCCACTAGTAGGTTGAAATTAGCAGTCAATTGATATTTCGTATTTATTAATTTTATTATAATATAATTTTTGTTCTTGCGCCGATATCTATACTAATATTATAAATGTGAAAATTTGTGAGTATGGATGTTTGTTTACTCTTTCACGCCAGAACGGCTCAACGGATCTGGATGAAATTTGGCACAGAGATATATTATAGTCTGGAATAACACATAGGCTTATTTTTATCCCGGAAAAATGTACGGTTCCCGTGGGATAGGTTTGTTTTTGTTTTCCTAGAGGCGAACCCAAACGAGGTGAAGGTGAGCCGCTAGTTCTATATAAACATAGGCAAAGAAAAATCAGTTCCTTTCTCTTCTCTGTTTGTCAACCGATCATCTTTTTCTTTTGCTTAGTAGCAATTGACTAATTGATTAGGGTCCAATGTCGACCATTGGACGAGTACTATTATTATATAATTATTAAAGTAAAAAAACAGCATGATAATAATATTTTTAATTAGGTATTTAAAACCCAAACTTAGATTTAGAAAATCCATTAGATAGCCTGCGTATTTTAATTGATCGAGAAGGATCAATCTATAACCCATATTACGATAATGAGACGAAGATATTTCAACATATTTAAAAATATGTAGTACATATTTTAACCTACTTTATAATTAACAAGCGACTCACCCTCGCTCCATTCGGGTTCGTCCCTAGTTACGTGTTAACGTTGAGTATAAATTTCTCAGGCATGAGATATTTTCCCACAGTGAAAAGTATTCTAAATGTAGATCAACTATGAATTTACCAAATTTCATCAAAAACTGTCCAGTGGTTTCCTTGTGATGCGTTCCAAGATAGACAGACAAAAATTCTAAAAACTATAGATTCGGCCTCCGTATCGATAATAATGACTTTTTAACAAGATTTCCCAAAAAATATTTAATGTACAGATTCGACTCCGTTAGAATTTTATTATATGTACCTATAGATAATAATAATTACATTTTCACACTAACTGCTACGCGCTGCCTCGAGCACTCGGCACTTACATTTTCCATTTAAAAAAGTTTAAGTTGTGCGTAACGTGCGTACGCCCTTGAAGGTAAAAAAAAATCTCTTCATCTTCTCCAGATCCTCGGATTTATCCTTATACTGTATAATTAATTGTTTTTATATTATTATCTGCAAAGAATGTAGATGGGTGTAGGCTATAATTAGAATTTGATATTTTAGTGGTCAAACAAAGTCAAAACAAAGTGGTTCTTTCTGCGAGAGCAATAAGACAGTAAATTCTCATCATCACAACATGACGGTGAGATGCTGTAATAGGTTTAGTTTTTAAAACCTCCTCACCTTATTTCACCTCGAGATATGTAAGATCGTAACATTGACCTAAACATCGAACTCGCAAATAACACTGTTGCCAACAAAATTATCTTCACTACAATAAATAGTACTGTAGGCAAATACTGTTAAATTATATATACTTGTTCCTAAAGTTTTGGCTTTAAATTGTTGTGTCCTGATTACGGTAAAGGTGAAAAACGATTGTAAAGTTGCACTTGGTAGGTAGAGTCCGTCATAATTACTCGTCTGAGAGACATGCCATGAAGATATATGTATGTTCGAGAATGATTCTATAAATATTATGTACATATATTTACTATGTAAATAGTTTAGCTAGAAGAACACAGATCGCTTCACCAATTTGAAATACAATTGAGAAGCTACGAATCAGTCTTTTTTTTTCGTTTTTTTTTCGGTAATAAGTGTGTTAGATATCGCATTAAATCAAATAAATACTTTGTAAAAAATCTATTGAAATAAATAGCATTTCGTTATTTAACTTAGATTAATACATTTACTGAAGAAAACTAACAAAACAAAATATCGACTCAAAACTTCAGAAAAGTAACAAATCATTATTAATTCACAGATTGTTTTTTTTTTATATTTTTAACGCCCAATATAATTAATATATAAACCCAACCCCAATTAGTGCACAAAATAAATTATAGGCCATTTCACATGAAAAAAATTAAGATCCTTCGATTTTAGTAATATTTGATTCGACATACAGATATTTATATAGATTATATTATGCTATGCTATTTAGGCAC